TTAAAAAAAATCTTGAAAAATGTACATTAAAGGAACATTAAGGTTGTAAAGCGGACCGCTGAGTAATTAGGAAATAATAGAATTCAAGTGGCCTGTATAATTTTATTTCAGCTTCCTAATGCATATGTATTACGAGGCGGTCTTCAATTCCAGGAATCCATACTATTTTTAGCTCAGGATTCTCCTTCGGTAGCCCTCCATGCAGGAAGGAATTTCATGCAGACTGAGTCTTGCTCCGTGCAGTTTCGTAAAAAATTCCTCCAAGCTTCATTCCATACTGGTTTGCAGCCCACTGTTTCTAATGGTACTTTTACAGAATTAAGGTATGCATGCAGAAATGGGGAACGCTTCAGTGAAACGTTTCAGAAACTTGGAGAGAAGGAAATATGCAATTTTGATGTGCAACAATGATATCAGGAATTTGCAATATTTTCATAAATCGAATTTAAAAACAACCATCAAAACCAAGCAAACCTTAGAGATTCAAGTTTCACTGTAGAGATTTTGCAATGCCTTTAATTGAAGTCATAATGCGATCTATATGTACACTGAATCTTTGTGTCTGAAGATTTGCACTGTTGCCTTAGATGCATGACAATTAGGCGTTTTCTGTTGGATGCTTTGGATAATACCATTAGATGCACAATAATTAGGTGTTTTAATCTCATTAATATTCATTTTCATACATTTAAATGCCTCTCTTATAGCATTTGTTAATTAACGTACATTACAATGGTATATTCCTCTTCCCCATTCACCCGTTCTGACTAATTTAATGAGCTGACATATCAGATGACTTCTCTTACAGGATTCTGCTGTCGTATCTCTGGTGGGAACAAAGCTGTGGTTATCGTGTTGTTTGTGGGTGGTATTAGTGCTGCTATTTTTCTCACAAGGAATCTGGGGCATGGACAGCCTGTCCTCAGTGATGCTGTTGCTAAATAGATGGCTCCTCGCCGTGCATTTCCTTTTGTTCGTATTATTATTTCCCACATCCCAGAAAGAAAGTTTGGGTCCCAATGTGTTTTGTGAGTTGAAAGTGAATCCCATTTGTACCTCTAAAAGCTTGCGTTTCTTCCACCACAGAAAGTAAAATGCAGTCTGCAAAACTGCAGGTCGTGGCAACAATTAAAAATAGCTTTCCTCACTCTTCTAAGTAGGACTAATTTAAAAGGTAAACTAAAGCATTCAAGGGAGTTGAAGGAAATCCCTGTCTCCTGACAATGTCTGCAAGGAGGTGAAGTAGTAAGTGAAAAGCTGCTGTATAATTACACCTACTGGGGATATTCATTATGATTCTTGGGTTACTCCAGAGCCTGACTATTAGTATTAAGTTAGACAGCTTGCCTGCGCGTTGTGCAAATATTTTAACAGACTGCACAGCACCTCCCACAATAACGTCTGTGCTTTCAGTTCCTGTCTTCTGCCAAATACAAATAATAACAATAACGGTAAACATGCAGTGAATAAACTTAGTTTCTTCTGTCAATTTAGCAGATGGAGTTATTGTGGTGATTTGCTTCTGTTTTTTGAGTCTCAGTTCATCAAAAGTTAAGGGAAAAACTCCCTAAATTCTTCATACTGATAAATTGAAAAGCAGTCTCAGCGGTTAACAGATTATTCAAATCCAGATGGAGAAAACACACCTGGAGGGGAATTTTCAGAAGGGCTCAGCGTCAACTTAATTCTGCTCCTACTGAAGTCAATGGGAGTTAAGCCAGTACGGAGCGATTTTCAAAATCTTAACCCTTGGATCTGCATACCCATCTGAGTTTGGTGAGGTTTCTTCTTTAGGAGATTCCAAGTTATTAGGGAAGAGATTTCCAGTAGCACCTGGGGGATTTAGAAGCACAGTTCAATTAGTCTTTCACTGCAATTTGTGCTTCTAAATACCTGAGACAGGTTTGGAAATCTCACTCTAAAACCCCGTCTCAGCTACTGGTTAAAGCCTCAGCACACACGTCTATTCCGATAAAAACAGGATTCCGGACCGAGGCACATGCAGGATTTTGTGTGTGGTTAGACAGTACACTGGGAGAACAGGCTGTCACGTTATTGTTAACTGTAAATGAAGGGCACTGTCAGCTGGGAAACGTTTGAACAACATTTCAAATGCTGCTGCTGTGGTCCTGTGCTGGGTTCAGCTAATGCTGATGAATCGCGTTCTGTGACCTCTGCTAAGCTGAGGGGCACGTAACTCCCAGCAGGTGCTGAGAGGGTAAGCTAGTGTCTGTTTGGGTTGTGATGGAAGGATCTGGTGCTCCACTTTTTGGGCTGCCATGTCATTCAGGAGTGATCTGTACAGTTTTATGTCAGACAACATGATTTGCCTAGGTTTAGTGGCTCCTTTTCATGTGTTTTTTAAGCAGCACAGCAGCAGCCACCCAAGAAAACCCTACCCCATAGTTCAGGTAAGAAAATAAGATTTAGGTGTCTTGACAGCCCTTGTTTTTTCTGCTGGCAAGAAAAGACAGTTCCTGCTTTCCTGTATTTCATGGGAGTGAAAGTACCATTCCTTTTAAATGTCTGGAAGAGAAGGGGAAGAGGGATCTGTCAGTGTGTTAGAAACAGAAAGATTTTCAGCTGTGGTTCTTAGGAGGAAGAGTTCAGAGCCCAGTCCTGCTTCACTTGGAGGCAGTGAGGCCCAGCTAACCCCCAGCCTGTTAGGGAGCTTCAGCTATGACGTGCCTCTGCTTCTGAGTTTAATGTACTTACTTTGCTCATAGGATACAGTGTATGTTTCACACAGAAGTGGGCATATGCCCTGATTTAGAGGTCAAATATTTCTTTAGATGAATCCCAGCATTACCACTGATGGAAACTGGCAGGGCAGTTGGTGAACAGCATTGCTATGAGAACGATGTTTTGTACCATACATCTCAGGACTCTTTGCGAAGAATGCCTTGCTTTACCTTTTAAACTCCACTTTAGTGTAACTGAATTGACAGTCAATTGAATAACTGAGTTGTACAAGTAACTGAATTGAACAAGAATTTGGGGTTAGGATGTGGAAGAATGGGAGTAAGAAATCTGGTAAGTGTTCTCCTTTAAAAAAGATGGCTAAAATGGATATTTAATTTAAATTATTTTAGTTGCCATTACCATGTAAAAAAAGAAGAGGAAGCTTGTAAATTATAATGAGATTATCCCAGTCATGACAGAATTAAGCTTAACAGGACAGTCAGCCTTGGACTCAGCCTGGCTAAGCAAGTGGGTGAAGAAGAGCAAGTCTGCTCTGTACCAGCCCCTTTCCTCAGCAAGCCTTGTATTTCTGTCCTGGGGGGGAAGAAACAGGAACATTGTGGCTGCGTACATAGAGAAATATCAGATGCTCACCTCCTGTGAGCAGGGGACAATCAGGCAGGGGGAAATGGGAGGAGCTTCATCCTGGTGAGTGCATGAGGGTAGTGAGCTCTGTAAAGCAGGGGAAACAGCTCCCCACTGCAAAAGGGAGGAATCTGGGGGTGAAGCACAACTCATGTCAGCCCCTTCAGGGGTCTGTACTGTTGTCCAATGCAGAGTGAAGGATTAGGGTGTGACTCAGGATCTCCTCTGTACAGTACTGACAGTAAACCAAGCCTACTGTGGCCATTTAAAGGGAGAGCATTTGGGCTTTCACTGGAACTAACCATTAAAGAATGGCTCCAGAAGGCTCAAATTGTACTCAGAGCTGAGCTTACTTCTCTGATCTCCTTACGACAGTACCTTTGTTTAAACAGAGAGCTGTGGGAGCTGCTGGGCCATGGCATGGAAGAGCTGCAGCTGTGATGGCATGAGGCAGGGGGCAGAACCAGCACAGGTGCCTGAATTAGGAACAGGGTTGTTCTGTACCCCATGATGCCACGTGGAGGACTATAAAGGCACAAGCTGTGAACCAGGGCCTGGCTACTGCTGGGGGGTTGGTGGGTGTTGCTCAGCAGCAGTGACCCTTGTGTTGCTGGTGGGGCATTGGTCGGTGAATTGCTATCATTGCATGTATGTTTCCATTTTCTTCTTCTGTCTTAGTAAATAGTTTTTAAGTTCTGTCTGGTTTACAGTTCTCTCCTTCATCCCACTTGTGAGGGAGTGAACAAGCAGCTGTGTGGTGCTGAGCTGATGCCAGATTAAACCACAAAACTGCTGTGGGCATCAAGGGAATGTAAGAGAGTTCAAAACAGCCATCTCTTGGCCTGTGTGAAGTCAGGCAGTGTAGAGCTTACCACAGATCAAAGCACAGCTACATTACAGGAGCACTAATGGCATGGGAGCTGTTGTGGTTGTGTGGTGATAGGTCTCGAAGCAGCCGAGGTGGAGGTACAGAAAGCGAAGGAATGAGCTGTTGTCTCCTTAAAATGTAACAGGTAGGGAAGGAGAGGAGTGCTGTTACCAAAAAGGATACAGAGGAGTAGGAAGAATACAAATGTATCTCCATGACCTGGAGAAAGCACTGGACAGCTATGGATGATTCCCTGATGAGGGGTGAAAAGGCCCTTCACTCACAGAGATTCATGTCTGGTAGTCAGTCTCTGAATGTATCCAATCTAGTTTACTTTGATTTCTGTGAACAACTGCGGCTCCTGATGAACAAATGTTAGAAATACCCGTTTGGTTCTGTATGGCTTGGCTGGCCTTTAGGCTTAGCCTAGTGTGATGTGTAATGAGGGCTGTGCTTTGGCGGGGGTTCTGTTTAGGATTTGATGATTTGGAAAGTAGCACTTCCTTCCCTCCATTGGTCTGTTAGAGGAAGTAAGTCATTGCTATCTTTCTCTAATTTGCTTAGAGAGCTGTGCTGATGGGGGGAACATTATTATAAAGACTGGTTTCCTATCCTTCCCTTCCTTGCATGTTTCTCTCTAGCACATCCCACTTATGCAGAGGAAAAAAAAAAGGCTGGAAAGGGAGCCCATGGACAAGTGGGAGAGATGAGTTTTTTAATTAATGGCTTCTGTTTGCTCCTGCCAACCAATCTAGTCTACCTCTGCCTTTAACTGGCTGAAGGAGAAGAGCTTATGGGGTGAGCAGAAGCTGAGACTATTCAGCTTCACAAGGAAACAGCGGATATGCAGCAAATAAACATCTGGAGACATTAATCCTGGTGCCAGTGCAAAGCTACTTTTATGTCAACACGAATAGGATGGGCAGGCAAGATATAAGATGGGAGAGAGAAGAATTTCAGGGCATCCCTTGGGCCACCCATAAATTTGTACAAATCCAGGGCTGAGGATTCTTTGTCCATCCTCCAGCTGAGCTGCTCACAGTGCTGTGGCTGAAGACTGGAAAACAGCACACATGCTAAGGTGAAAATAGCAGCACACACTGTATTTTGTGCTGTTCTCTCTCCTGACATAATCAAGTACTGTAAGTTTTACATACCAGTGCACAGATTACTGGCATTTACTAGGAAGCACGAGGAGCAGGCTGGCAACTGCTTGGAGGCACACGGAATATATAGGCAATTGCTCCGGAGCATGGGGAATGCACAAGCAATTCAATTCCCAACTGGTTTCTAGGCAGGAGCTACCAATTAAAATTAAAAGAATAAAAGACTGCAAGCTTGGGACTGATGATGTGCTCTGGAGAGAGGAGTTGCCAACAGCTTGTGCTACAAAGATGCTTCTCTTTCAGTGGATTTCAAATGGCAAAAGAAACTCAGGTAACAGATCATTCTTTTCTTCTGGCTTCCCTGATTTTCATGTACTCAGTCGTGCAGCCAAAATTCCTACAAAGACAGACAGGGCTGCTCCCCATGAATTCTAAGCAGCAAGCCAACCTTTGGAGAGCTGATGCAGTGAATATGCCAGCAGTCAGCTGTACCTAGGAAGCAAGATTTTAAAACCAAGCCTCAGACACCTGAGTGCTGAATGATGGGGCTCAGATAATCTACGAATGAGAGTATGGTATTTGCTTGTACATACATGAAAGGATTTAGGATTTAAAAAAAAACCTTACCCATCTAAATGTGCCTTTTCCATTAATTGTTAATGAATCTCTGAAGTAAAACTTCCCTTCTGATGGAGAAAACTGAGGCCTAACTAGATGAGGCTATTAGGCATAGGTGGGATCTGTATAGCCTCTGCATTTATGCTGTGCCCATTACAGGGAGCCCTGAGAATCATGAAGGAAACAGGCAAGTTTTAACTGCAGTTACCAAACTGCAGCTGCCTTGGGGCAGATGAAATCACAAATCACAATCTGTCATTGGTTTTGAAGTCAAAGCATGCTTTCCTTGCTCTTCTCAGAGGTCAGGTGAATGTTAATGAACTCAGCATTCCACCAGCCACAGAAAAATGGGTGCACTAACGCAGTACTACAAATGTCTGGAAGTAATGCATGCATTATTTTAGGATGCATTTTGTCCATGTGGTCTTTAATAGGGAAGCAGAAGGAAAATGAACACCCTTCAGACACTTGACCTCCAGCTGTAACTCAGGAATCTCCACACCACAGAACGGAGTTCAGTGCGGTACCTTGCATCAACACAATTCTGTTTCATTAGGATTTGCCTTGTGGAGAACAAGTTGTGTAGTTCTCAGATTTTTCTGTCAGAGAGCTTAGCTGACCTGCTAGCAGGTGCAGGATAGGATCGTTTATTATTGCTTAGCTTAATAAACTGCATCTTAAATTATGATATCGATTACAGCACAGAATGAAAAGGCTGAGCCGGCATTATTGTATTTGACACAAGAAGCATTTTAAAATGTTTACACTGATTGCATCAGTGCGTCAGTATTGTTTTTGGAAAGCAATAGACTGAAAATATGGTGTTACATAAAGTGCTAGGTGCTTCTGAATTCATTTACTTACATTTTCATCTAAAAATCAAAGATTTCACATGGCAGGTGGAGCTCATCCATGGTTCTTCTCCCCGTTAACAAATACAAGCCAGTGTTTCCTGTATCAATTCACCAAATTAATGGCACTAAAACACAGCAAAAATACTGTTGCAACCCTGGTAAGTTCTGTAGGATGCTCCTGACAGGATAAACATGTCTGATCTGCCCTCCTTTCCTTCCCTCCCCCCCAAACAAGCAATAAAAACATTTTGCATAAACAAATTCCAAATTACAAGTAATCATAGGAAAGCTGACAAATGTATGCTATGCTAGTCTGTGAAAATACTAATCAAAGCAGCCTGTCAATTGTTAAAGTTAATGATTTAGATATGCAAAACTCTGACTAAATTTTTGTGGATAATTACATAATTACGGCTGGGTTAACACAATCAGAAATAGCTATTGCGTGCTCCATCTTGAAATCACCGTGGCAGTTCCCACTATTTTTTAAAGACCTCTTTCCCGTTGTTCCACCTGCACACAAAAAACAGTAGGGAGGGGGGAAAAAAAACTGGGAGCCACCAGGGAGAGGAAAGCAAGTGAGGAGGGTGCCTGCTGCCTGCTCCAGCCCCTCTTCACCTCCGCTGGAGAACAGAGCGCCTGCTGGGCTGGGTGGTGGTGTGGGAATGCCAGTCAAATAGAGGGGGATTGGAAGCAGGAGAGTTGGCTTCTGTAACAAACTGCAGTAGCGGCGTCTCTACCAGTGGATTAAAACCTGTGAAAATGAGCTTTTTCTGTGGGAAGCCTCTCTGACGGAAACGGAGTTTCTGCTTCATTTTAAAGGGCTTGCTCTGATACAGGAACCCGGGACTGGCAAGGCTTACCTACACCATTCCATTCTTTGTTAAATTATGAAGTCATTCCTATGGCCCTTTTGCTCACAATCAGTCTTCTTACAGGTGTTTGGTTCAGAAGGTGCTGTGAGGCCTCCAGATGCTCTGAAAGGCCCCTCTGGTTCATGCTGAAGCTGGAGGAAGGCAGGCTTTAACGGAGAGGAGATCCAGGGAGGGGGTAAGCATGCCCAGTTCTCTGGGCACTGGTCTTTTTTAAACTCCTTTGAAAGTTGTTCTGAATTGTTCTGTTCTCAGAAATCATGAATTTCTCTTGCAGCACAGTTTTCTCCCTCTCATGTTGGCCTCATGGTCTCTTTTTATACTAGGTCTGACTGGTAGAGTGTAGAGATTCCAGCTGTTGGGAATTTCAGGAAGGTGACAAAAGCATAAATAAAATGAATGTTGGGCTCTTTCCTGAATGTCACATTGTCTGGGATGGGGTAATGATAGTGATTTAAAAAGTAATATATCTCTCATGTAATTTTTTATCATAATTTTTCTATACAGTTTCCATTAAATAGATAGATGACCTAAATGAGGAAGAGAAATAAAGTGAAAGCATAAAATCAGTCCCTGTCAAGAGGGACTACATAGAAGGAGTTGAGATAGTGCATCATCTCCGCTAGTGCAGATTGCGATGAGCGCAGCATGTAGGTTTCTGTTTATCACTGATGAAAATGCAGAACTAATGGTGGTGACTGTGTTGAAAAAGAGTGTTTTGTAGTCCAGAATTTGCTCTGTCAAGCAGTTGTTGCGCTCTTTGTATTGGTTGTAGTTTCCATGGAAACAATTAGAAGGCATTACTTTCAGAGCAACTGTTGTAGATTTGGCCCTGGACAATTCCTCTTCACTCATTGTGGCCTAGGGAAGCAGCATGGTTGGACACTGGTCCTGTGGGAGAGGGAAATAAATGCATCTTTATGTAGATGCAGATGTGTCATCCTCCCTCCCAATATGTTGTCAAAGTTAGCTTGAGGTAATTGATGATACAGAGCCGATGGTTGCTTTTGTTATATCCTCAAGAGAAACTGCTACAAATTCATTTGGTGGATTGCTCAGCCTGCAATAAGGACATGAAATTAAATAGCGATGTGGTTGGACCTCTGAATGAAACCTGAAAAGCTCTTTTGGAAACATTGCAGGCACCTGGAGCAATGGCAGGGCTCTGAGGCACTATTCACTGGTCTTACCCTGCTTACTTCTGCTGTGCTGATGAAGCAAAAATAAACTTCCTGTACTTAGACAGATTTTAAACATTTTTTCTACAAGACAGAAACCAGATGGAATATTTTCACAGCTGACACCAAAATTCGCAGTTTTCGTGACTTCAGTGATATTATGATTTATACAGGGATTGTGTGTGTCGGCAGCCTCGAGCAGACAGCCTCTTGCCATCCAAGCTTTTAAATGTTATTTGGATTGATAGGTCAAAAGATTCTACGAGCTGAGCGCAATGTGAAGTATCACTGGATTTAAATGGTAACTGTGGGCTTTTCTGGTTCTGTATCTTGACTCTAAGGTGTAACAATAAAATATGTTAAAAGGGCCTCACTCCAGGAGGGATAGCAAGCCCTTGAAATTAATCATTTATAGAAGTAAACAAAGAATTGTCATGTCGAGTCACGAGCACAAAGCAGGCTATTGACTTGAAGCCTTCATTGGCTCTCGTAAAGCAAGAGGTGAGTGGCAGCAGGCATAGTGCTGGGACTGCCAGTCTCACAGGCAGTGTTTTCAGATGGCCCTGAAGACAAAGAGGAGTTGAAGGGAGTGAGCAGTCAAGTAGAAGCTGCAGGCAGCCCAGGTAGAGGGCAGGGTGGGGAGCAGGTCCACAGAGCTGGGCACAGGCAGGGGGTTCTCTCTGCTTCCTGTTTCTTTGCCCTCTATTTGTGCCTGAATCAGCTGCTGTTCACTGCATGTGAGCTTCTTCCCACCTTTGTGGGAATTCCTGGTTTCCTGGGAAACTTGTGCTGGCCTGTGCCTGAAGAAAACTTCAGAGACGCACTGATTATTTTTTTATATTTAATGGCGTTTTTTCAATGCCTAAGAGTGGCAGCTCGTTAACCTTGGTGGCTGCCTTTCTGTTTTCAGAGATGTCTCCAGATTGTATGTTTTCTCCTTAGAGTTTTAGGTGACGCGTTTCTGGCTATGTGAGACTTACAGATCAGTACTGCACCTTGGTTGGTGCTCATCACACCAGTGGTGTTGGAGTTAATCCTTGTGTGCTCTGTGTATTTGTAGGATCCCGTTCTGTGAAGTCCACACCTGATAGTGCACCAGAGCTGGTTTGCACAGGGCTCCAGAGCTTGCCTCGTCTTTAATCAGGTGTTTGCTTCGGAAGGGATGTGTTGTTGCTAGGGGATGTAAGTTCTCTCAGGCTCGGAGATAGATGGAGGTATATATAATTTCAGGTGCTTATAATATGTGCACCTAATCTTTATAGAAGGATTTATTGTGTAAATCAATGACAAAATAAATGGCAGCGGCTCCTACGCAGCTAGGGCAAGGAAAGGCTGCATCTAATGTGCTTTTCCTGCTCAGCCACTTACTTAGTAAGGCTACTGGCACACCAAAGTATCCTACAGTCTTTTGCCATGCATGCTTCAGACTCAAATCCAGCGCAATGGTCAAAGAAATGGAGCATAAAGCCACCCTGATCATTCATGGTAACATAGTAGCTGATGATGTTTGGACCTGAGACTATTTTTTTCCCCATAGAAATATGGTAGGAATACAGCAGAGACAGGGTGAGAAGATGGTTAATAACCTGTAGCAAACCCTACTAAGTTGTGGGCTAAATAAATGTCGATTCCAGTGATATCTGCTGAAAATCAGCATACGACAAAACATTTGGTGATAACATACGGAAGGAGGTGTGGGAGACAGTTAGAGGAAGCCTTTCACTTTTCTGTACATGTTTATAATCTGGTGTCCTCAACATAATAGAGACTACATATTGAAACTGTCTGTATGGAGCCTGGCTTCCAAAAAATAAAAAGCGCTCCTGTGAGTAGAAACACTGCCATTTTTTATGTGTTATTTCCTTGTTTGGACTTCCCACCCCCGAGCCAGCTTCAGTGAACACAGACACTGCATTATAGGGGCCATGCTAGTGAACAGTTGTTTAGAAGGCTGTACCACAAATCTGTAATGTAAGTAATGTTCTCCTATACACTGTCGCTTAAATCCAGGAAACCACATTTTAAATATGATGCTGATCTCTATCTAGGGGAGTTTAAACAAAAGCAGCCACTCTTGCAAGATACTTCCTTTGGCTAAGCTGGAAATCCTAGGCATGTAGGAGCTAATCTAGCAAATTGCTTAAATGTATGCTTAAACCCGTGTGTATTTGCTTTGAAGTCAACGGGATTACTTGTATGTTTATATGCTTCAGTGGTTTGAGGCCTTGAAACATAGGAGGACATTTGGCATCTAGACAAGCAGGGCTAGGAGGAGCATGAAGAAATTATCTCCCTTCTCTGGGATTGGTTATACTTATGGCATTCCTGGCAGATTTTTTTTTTCCTCGGCTGTTGTTAAAAACATCTGGTGATAGAGACTCCACAGCTTTCCCAGGCTCTATTCCTGTGCTTCACTATTGTTACTATTACAAATGTTTTTCCCTCAAGTCTGACTTGCTGGAAGTTAAACCCGTTGATGTTTGGGCTTTCTAGCTTACAGGAACGTTGGGCATGACAATCTTCTACACACTTAAGAGTTTTAATGTTACCTTCTCAAGAACGCTTGTGTAAAGACCCCAGCATTTCCAAATCTTTTTTGTAGTCCTCTGGTTCTCTTCCAGGGCTCTCCAATGAGTCCGTCTCTACCTTGCACTCTTCCCCTTTCTTTCTCCCATTGAATTTCAGCCGTTTGTTGGCTCTGCTGTGATTTGTCAACATTTTTGCAAACTGGGAGCCTCCTTACTTGCAGCTGCCCTGAGCACCCCGTTTTTGTAGTCCGTAAGCACAGTAAGTATGCTGTTTCAGGTCTAGATGATTGACGAAAATACCAAACAGAATCATATCCACAGCAATTTTGTATCTTCCCCCAGATGGCTTGCTTTGGCTGTGGGCAAACGGTAACTTTCTCTGCATGTTCAGCCACTTTGTATCTGTCTTGTAACTTTTTCATTCTGGCTGTGTTTCCTTGCTGTGCATATGAGAGAGACAGCCCCAAAAGCTTGACTAAATCAGGAAATGTGACATCTCTTGCTTTGCTTCTGTCTACGAGGCCCGCTGCCCTATGGCAGAAGGAAATTAAATTGATTTGACAGGATTTATTCTCTACAAATCCATACTAGCAGCTATTCATTTCAGTGTTATCTTCTAGGCGCTTACAAATAGTTTGATTACTCGTTCTGGTGTTTTTCTGAGGATTGAAAACAAATTGACTGGCTGCTAAGTCTTCAGCTCTGCTTTCCCCCACTTGCCAAGCAAGGTCTTGTTTGCTCCCCTCCAGCCCTTGGGCACCTCATCTCCACCACCAGCACTCACAGAAGTGACTGTCCAGTGATTTAGAAATCACATGAGTTTTAAGAATCCGGGGTTGAAATTCATTGTGCCCAGTCAATTCGAAGACCTTTAATTTATTTAAGGGCATTTTGATCTGCTCTTTTTAGGCCATTATCTTCGTGCTGGTACATATTCTGTTCCTTGTCTGCACTGGCGTCTGTGTCCTTTAGAAGTTTCTCAGAGGCACTCCCAACTCTCCTTAATTATTTATTTTTGCCTTCTGTGAGGTCTGAGTTCGGGCCAACTGCCTGGGTTTAATCCTGCTGTCAGCTATGGTTGTGTTGTGTCTGAATTGAGGCGTAACTGGAGGCTAGGGAAACAGCCTTAATTTCTGCTTCTTACTCTGGCAGCACTCTTGCTAATGTATGAGTGCCCTGCTTAAAACTGAGAGCTGCAATAATGTGGTGTGTTGGGATTTGGGATGTCTGCTGACCAAGGCTGGGTTGGAGTTGATATATTGATTTTTATTTTTATTTTTTGTCAACTAACTAGAACAAATGACTCAACAGTCAGTGGGAGAGGATTAAGAATACTCTCCTCTTTGTTAAGGGTAAGAATTAATTTTAACAAATTGTCTAGAGAATGTATTTCACATTGCCATTTACCCCCTCAAGTTGTTTCTGGGTGCCCTCTCTCTTTTGCTCTGTTGTTGTTGTTGTTCAGGAACTGGAGTGATAACTTTGTCCCTTCCTGTTTTCCTAGAAAAGTCAAGTAGAGAGCTTCATTACAAACTTCACTACATTATAATTCTGCTATCTATTCTCATAATATCAGTATCTCCATAGTCAAATGAGGAATGTTTCATTGAAATTACTACTGATCTAGTAGCAATTGACTGTATGTAAATCAAAAGTTTCTTTAAGTTTAATAGATTTGAGGGCTTTTAGTTTCTCTTGTACAGAAGAGTATTCTCACTCCTGTTATATTTTTTCATAATCTTTTTCTTTCTGAAAGGGCAAACTGCGAAAGTGCAGTAGCCAAAGTTGTCTCACTGTTTTGAGACATGCAGTGAGATACTGGGCTAAAAGAAATGGCAGTATTCTACATAATTTCACAGGATCTGCTAGGGAAATAGCCTGATTTTATGGGAGCTCTTATGGAAAAATTCTGATTTTATGTGGATTCAGGTGAAAAGATACATTTTTTGGATTTCTAAAATTGGGTGGATTTCTTGAGTTCCATGAAATCTGTGACAGCCATGGAAAAAATGCACAGTTCTTGCCATGGAGTAAATTTTTATTGTGGTCTGCAGAACTTTCTTTTCTTTGTACATTTGTGTCTCTGACACGTGCATTCTGGACCTCCTCCTCATCTTGTATTCTCTTCCTGTGAATATTTTATGCTTCTTGATGGATGCATAGCACTCTGATCCTCAGATGATAGAAATCCATGGCTGCCTACAAAGGAGGTTCAGCGTGCAAATGAGTGTGATGGGGAAAGGATGTGAAAAATAAGAAATACCAAACACAGGTCTGCAGGTTTTGTGCTTTTATGCTAATACCAGCTTATTTATGCATTATAGGAGGGAAAATAATTGGGAATAAGGAATGGTAATGATTTGTTGTATTCAGTGTGAGACCTAAGCAGTGCAGCATCAACAGCAACCTTCTTGCAATTTGTAAAATCTTGGCTTTTGCAAAAGGTCCAGAACAAGACCACCTGAGGAGCATATAAAGCTTCAGAACAGAGTGATGGTATTGCAGCATCTCAATTTATCCTGTAAGCAATGCCCTCTATGGCTAGGACGCAAGTGTGACTGTAGCATGCTTGCCTTGTTCCCTGTCTCAACAGAGGAAGCAGAGCTGAAATAGATCTTGCTTTTCAAGGAGAGAAATTAAGACACAGAGGAGAAAATCCTCAGACAAGGCTTGAAAATCAATGGTGAGATGAGGTGAAAACTTGTAGGAAGGCTGTGTCAGAAGGGCATGGGAAATGACAAAGAAAAAGCGATGTTAGATAAGTAGAGGAATCAGAAAGGGAAGAATTGTGAAAGAGATTAAGCCAAATCTATGCAGGGTTTTAAATGAAGAAGCCTGAACAGTATCTTGAGATGATCAGGGAGCCATCTGATTAGCTTTGATTTAATGATATTCTTGAACTGCCTGAGCAGCCAGAACTGAGAATGTTCCCAGTGGCAGAGCTGAAGTGTCTCGGAGGGAATCTCCTGCCCCTAGCTGGGAGGATGTGAGGAAACCTCACGTGGAGCAGAGGCAGAGGGTGTGCAGGTCATTTCCTTGTACTGGCAAAAGAAGAGGAGATGAATATCAGGGTTCTGATGGTGTCCTGTGCTGCTGTTGCTTCAGTAAGAAATATGAAGCAGAGAGCTGGAACTGAGGCTGGGTGTTGGTGCAGTCAGAGCTGTCTATATTTAGCCAAGCCACAAGGAGTTTCTGCAGGGCAAGTGGGACAAATGGAAAGGGATGTCTGGTATATGAGGGAGCTGTTTGTATTAGCTGCAGCAGGCACAAGTATTTGTGCTCCACGTGATGCTGTGCTTTATTGCCTGCTACTCATTCTCTTTACTGAACCGAATAGGTTCCCAGGATCTCTATTCCCTTTTGTAAATGCTAAATAGAATTTTGCCATGTATAATGTTTTCCAGAGAAAACATCACCTTTTGCTGTATTAGCTATATTATTCTAAAGGAGTTTAGGTCCTACTGGGACCGAGAACTGCTTTTCCTCTTTCCCCATCAAACAACCTACAATCCAGCTCTCCTTTGCATAATCCTATTTCAAATACGAACAATATGAATCCTCCAGTTTATGCTAGCGAGGAAATTTGGGTGGTTATTTCATCATTGCCTGGAGAAGCAGGACAGGGAAGCTGCCAAGCTGTCTCTGTACAGCTTTGCTCTGCTGAAATCTAGTGTAGAAAGTGTAGTCATCTTGATAACATATTCAGCTCTTTTTCACCTTTTGCTAGCTCGTGCTATCGGTGAGTTGTGGCTGTGCATTTTTCTCTCACAGTAGATAACAGTCTGCCCACCTCCTCCCCAAAGGGTACAGGTCAGACAAGGTCCTGTTGTCTCTTTCTCTGGCTGCAGCTTCCTGATGTATCTGTCTCTACACTGGTGACCCTCAGATCACGGTATCGATTCTTGCATCACCTTTAGGATTGCTAATAAAAAATGGCTAGTTAAAATGTTCCTGTAGCAGCATGTAGTAACCAGCTGGAGGCTTACCTGTTGGCTGTGGTGAAGTTTTCAGCGCAGAAGAGGGGTGCCCAACTTGAGGACGGCAAAACCTGGAAGCAGGTGGTTGTCCGACCAGGTGAGCCTGCAGGTCAGGAGGAGGCAGGAGGCTGGGGAGGCTGCTCTTCCCTGGCCACTGCTCTGGTGCCCTCTCCTTGCCATGGAGCTGCCCGGTGCTCCATGGAGCTGTGTGCCTGTAGGGCCACAGCCAGTCCTGCTCCTCCTGCCCCACTGGGCAGGGTGGGGGGCTGTGTCTCTGGGCACTGTGCATGTTGTGCAGTCCTTGTGGTGCAGGAACCAAAGCTAGCTGTGATGTTGGGTGGGGTGAGGAGAGGATGTGCTGCTAGTTCCTCAAGTGTGTGTAGACCAGTTCCATTCTAATGTAAAGGCTTTGAAACTTCCCAATTATTCATTTTCCTTATGTGCAAAGTATGCTTGCCTTGTGTGCTTTGTCAAGTTAGGAAAGAAGAAAATGTCTACTTTGTAGTGCATTTTCTCCAACTGTTCCATTTTCTGCTGAAGCAATTTGTGCCAATATCTAACTGCTCCGCAGACAAAATCTGCATGGCTAATACGTGCAAACATATTCATGCTGAAGAGTCCTGCGTGCTAAAAGCGTCCTGCTTGCACCACATTCTGCAACCATGGCCATATATCTGTGGATTAGCATATTTGATTAAACATATATACAGAACTGGAGATCATAGTAGAAGGGTATGTACTATATGAGCCTTTAATCTCAGATGTGCCCCGTGGGTAAGGTAGATGGATTAGTATTGTCACGTGTAATCATCTAATCTTACCTCTCAGCCCATTGACAGAGCGTCAGGGTTGGAATCCCCCGAGATCCATGGAGAGCTGAGAAGCTCTGGAACACCTGATTTTGCATAAGCAAAGACACAGATTGCCTGCCTTGGTTGTTGTCTCCAGCAAGGAAGATTGAGGTGGCAACCCAGATGTTTCCCTGTGGGTGACTCCATTTGAAACAGTTAAAGGCAGTGGGCCTTGGAATGCCTGATGCCCTGCTGCCTGCATGTATCTGACATCATAGTTTCTCTCACTATAGTAAGCTGGCTAAATTAATTTGATTTTAAAGAAGTGAAGCACTGAGACTGTGCCTGACATTTTCAGGATTCCAGGACACCATGTTCCCAGATCAATATGCTGATTTAGTAACATAACTTATGCTCAGGAAGGCCATGTGACATTCCTAGACCCATCCATCTTAGTCTAGCTTTTCTGTTAGAGCTGTGCAAATCCTTTCCAGGAGAGCAAGTGTGATTTTAGAAGCTTCCCATTAGAATGAAATAGTGCAAAATTACAAACAACTCCCACTAATACCAGATTTGAAGATACTTCTTTCCTCTCATCTGTATGAGTCTCAGGTAGGTCCTTATACAAGACCAACACTATTTTGCTAACAATCAGACAGGCACATGCGTAAGTAAATGCACAGATGTAACACCAAGAGCCTACTGCCCAGAACATGAATGCTTGCATACGGAGATAAAGAGGGTCCACCTTTAAGCAGACACTTCTTCAGATAAAGAAATGCACTTGGAAAGGTGAAAGGGCACTGAAAGCACCAAGAGTTTTTGTATTCAAAAGCCAAGGAGATATTTAAGTTCTTTTCAGGCTTAAATAGAATCAGAGAAGTGCTACAAAAGTAGCTTGGGTTTACATGTATGAAAACCAGCCATATATCTCTTGATCATGTTGCTCATTTAAAAGTTATCAAAACTGTTTTGTTATGGGCCATTTGTGTTTGTGATGCTCACAAAAACAGCACATTGAAGTCAATGGCTGTTGTGTCACTCACAAAGTGATTTTAGAATGCAGATTATATGAGCAAACTTTCTGTTCTATCATTTACTGGTAAAAGAAGAAAGAAAAAAACAAATGCTACCCTCATTTTCTGGGCTAAACTGCTCAAGTTTTCGTTTTTTTAAACAAGACCATGCCTAGTGGTTATACCTTCTTATGCTTACTCAGTACTGGCAGCCGTGCCTCCTAACAATGCTAGGAATATCTGAAGATATTTCTTTCAAGGTAGATAGAAATTCCAGTTTAAATAATGAGACTGCTAGCTTAACTTCCTCTTCCAAACAGAGCAGAAATTAACATAATAATTAAATTGATTGTAGCGATGAAGCATCATGACTTCTAGACCCACGCTGTTTGTTTCTATGTTATCTTAGCTTTGATTCAGTATATCTCGGTAGCACAGTGTTTAGCTTATAAGGATATTTGCCTGACTACAACTTTAAGAACAGGTTTAAGAATACACTGAAAGGAATCTGCTCCTTGCTAAAGGCCATTCTTTTTAAAGTGTCTTTCCTACTCTGTGTAGCCAAAGTACTATTGAAGATGTTTGTAGTGGAAATGCTGAGTCACAGCCTGAACCAGTGATTGAGCACCTGGAGGGAAGGTGGAGCCAACCCAGGGGAGCTCAGGTGCATGCAATGAACCTGAGTAACCAGCAGGGTTGGAGCCAGGATTCACTGCTTCCCAGACTTCATTTAAGGGTTGGCAGTGCAGGTGAAGGTATTTCTCTGGAGCTCCCTGTATACCTGAAGTCTTCTAAAGGTAGGAATATATGTATTTTTTTTTATTTCTGCGCCTGCTGCTGTTGTGTTTGAGCAAGTTGTTATTGCTGCAGCTACAGCAATGCAGCTCTGCTGTCATTGTTGTGCTTTCTGTCGTGTTACTGGGGTTTGGAAGATGGTTTAGTTTGTGGTTTTGTGTATCAGTCTGCCAGGCAGCACTTTAACCATGTGCTTTCAAGGTTAGAGCCTTGGTTTCAGCCTTGTGCTTACTAAGTGGTATGGAAATGTTATGCACGGTACGTGGAAATGCTGTAATCTGTTGCTTTCTAAAAGCCACCCGAAGTACTGTACCATAATCAAATAGTACTTCTTAATGACACTGTATGCCCCAGCTGTGTCCTGAGACATACTGACACAAAAAAGTCATCCAGGGATGCAAAGCCAATTGGGAAACCTTGCTAAATGGAGGACTCATGTGCTTTTTCTGTGCTTAACTGATGGCTTTATTTAACAAAACACTTGCTAACAGTGAGGCTGTGAATGCACATTTGGTCTGGACCTTGTTGTTCACAACTAGGTCATTGCTGTGGCTGTGTTCTGGACTGCAGTCAGTCTGTGGTTAGCTCGTTTCCGTGAAGGGAGCAAATAGGCCTGTTCCACCTACTTCTTTAGGTATGGTGGAGGACATCATTTTTCACCATACTTATACCATTAAAATATCCCTGTTCTCTTCTGTTGTCTCTTAAAAGTCTCCCAGAGGACACTTCTCCTGCAGGCTTCCACTTTCTGGGAGGTTCCAGATAATGGCTTCTCTCCCATTAGTCCTGAAATTACCACCTGAGCAGGCTTCTAGTGCCTGCACCACTCCCCTTTGTTAATGTACTTCTAGCTCCTGGCTGTGCTACCTTCCTGGCACCCCACTGGATATCCAGCAGTAAATATTAGCATAAGGACTTAGGCACCTTTCTGCTCTGGCTTGTCCTTCTCCTGCCAGTTTCAGGAGCTGCTCTTCCATGCTTTAGGGTAACTTGTCCATTGTTGCTCAGCTATTGAAAGCAGTTAGTCTCAATTTCTTTCTCTTTTCTTTTGATTTGCAAGAGGTAGGAAAACTTTAGTGTCTCTTTTTGCTTTCATTCTGAGACTAACGAGGTGTTTGGTAGGCACCTGTGTGCAAGAGGCAGATGGTATGGTCTCTTGCATGGGTATTGCCTCAGTAGCTGTTACTGCTGCTTATGAATAAATGGAGTTTGTGGTAACTTTGTGAGCTGTGCTTCCCCTTGTTCTCAGTGTATTATTGCTTTGGACTTATAAGTGTATCTTGTAGCTTTGGAAACAATGGATCAGCTTCAACTCTGGCAGTATGTCCAGTAACTATATATAACATAATTGTTACACCTTAATTTGCATATATCTTATGTTTTGCTTCATCTGATGTGTTTTATAATGCTTTTCTGCACTGTTCACTTCAGATGATTTATTTTGTAAGACAATTTAACCAATACTGTGATTCTTGGAGTGTTGTGTTCTATAACATAAATAGAAGGTAGCGTATTCATGCCTTCTGAAGTCGGTGAAAGTCTGTCTGTTGACTTTCATGGGGCTCTGGATTAGATCTTTAATGAACATCTCCTGATATCATTATAGGAGCAAATATTGGAACAGCATCATGAAAACTTCAGATTTAGTCGATACGGAGGATTTATTACATTTTTTTATAGAACATAAAGTAGTTTGGAAATTGCTTCTTGAATGACTTCACCTGCTGCTCTGTTCATGCTTGTCCCACAGTGACCTGAGCCACCCAGACGAATATTTTTGTCAGACGGGAGCTGAGACCAAGATTAGGAGAAAGGAAGGGACCACACAGTGTAAAATCCAGCTGCAGGCTTTGAGGCAAGCAGAAAACAAATTGCAGACTCAAAATTCAAAGTCTGAGTGCACCCTAAGAGGTGTGGGATTCCTGTCAGCCTCAAATGTTTTTCCCCTTAGTGTGGGGTGTTGAGTTGCAGAGAACCTGAGAGTTTGGAAATGTAAACACGCAATTCATAATGCAGAAGCCGTGGAATTAATGAATTTCACACTGCCCCCACCTTAGACTAATTAGTACAAATTAAATGCTGCACTTGCCAGGCAGAGCAGTTTGTGCATCATGTATTGTGTTACGAATTATTTTAGATCGATTTTCACAATGCAAAAATAGTGTGAAAATATCTTTTTCAATTAGTGGTAGTTTTACAGCCATTAAAAGATTTCTTTAATAGGCTTAGACTCCCATGGCCTGCACAGCTGCATGAGGTCTGGTTTGCATTTAAAGGTGGGAGAAAATATAGTGGGAAGAGAGACATTTAGCTGACTGGATTTGCTTAATTAACCCCCACCCCATGCGAAAATGCCAAAGCAGGCCGATGAATTATCTGTCCCTTCATCACAGGCCAATCGCTTAATTGCAAATTATCCCTAATAATTACGCAGTCAAATAACTGCTGGATTTATATTTAATGAATTAGGGAGCCCTTAACAAGGATTTAAATGGACCCACCAGGATTACTCAAAATTGACAACTATCAAAGGGCTGGAAGCTGCTGCTTGTGCTTATGTGGAGGTAGAACCTGGCTCTGTTTCCTGTTGGGTGATGTTTTTCCATTTCTATTGTCTCAGTGGGACAAACTGAAAATGGGAGATGACTGAAAATGAGAAAGGGAATCAGAACCAGGGAGGTTAGAAAGGCAGGGCAGAATATAGGACCAAGTAAGGAAACCCCAGCCTGTACTAAGTGAGATGGAGCCCTGCCAGACAGTGCAGGAAGGGTGCACTTGCCTTTGGTGGCATTCCTGGTGGGGACAACAGAGTCTGCCCACTGCAGAGGTGTGTGTGGATGCGATTACTGCTGATGCAAACATGGGGCAAGGGTTTTGGCACTTGTTTTTCAGTTTTGACAGCAAAGGAAAACAGAAAGGAGTCGTCTTACCTCCCTCCCTTATTTATTTCCCTTCCTCCGCTCTCTCCTCATAAATAGCTTTCTCTCTTCAAATTCCTGTAAATTACTCGGTGTGTGGGATGTGTTCCATGGCGATGGCCACTTGTCTTGTTTCCAGGCTGACATGTACCTTGCTGGAATACAAAACCAATTGAGAATAGGAATTTAAACTTAAAGCTGCGTTTGCTTGTAGTCGGAAGGGTAAGATTCAGTAATTGAATAAGCAATAGAAAACTTGAAGAGTGAAGGAGGGAATAAGCTGAATGTAAAGGAGCGTGCCTGGGAGAGTTAGATGATGCGTGCTTTCCCTAACATGGTCCAATCAGATTAAGGTGACTGAACTGTTTTTGAAATGGAAACTAATATCTGTCTATTCCTTATCTTTCTTGTATTGATGTCCTGAGGTCCAGTTGGGAAATCGGGATCCCTCTGTGCCTACAACAGTAAAAACACTAGTTCTGTCTCTCCCCACCACCACTGTGCAGCCTCTCAGCAAAAGTGCTCTCTGAGCTCTGATTTCCTTTTTCATTTCTATGTTGCTTGCTCTTTGTAGGTCATGTGTAAGCAATTTTTTTCTGCTGCTTTTTTCTAGGAGGGTAAGTAATTAACTTGGAGGAGAGCGGGAAGCTCTGGTTTCAGGTTGCTTTGAAAGGCCTTTTATTGAGATTTCTGGAGTGTGCCTGTTCCTCGAAGATTTCTCACTGTGGATTCATGTATAAGAAGGTGATATTCTGGACTTCAAAGTCTCAACTCATATCTTTCTTGATTGTGAAGCATCCTATCTTGTATTATACTCCTTAAGAGATTTTAATGTTTGTGAGGCAAGGCATGAGGAAATATCAAACTATTTCTTTTGTTTTGTTTGTTCTTGTTTTCTAAATGCTTGCGCCCTGTCTGCATAAGCTCCGCCATGATGACTGTTAAATTTTGCAAGGTCAATCACTGCCTGGAAATTTTGGATTGCACTTAAGAGCTCAGTGGCTAGAGGACGTGGTATTGGAGCTGCAGAAACATGGCTGCGTCTCCTGGCTGTCAGTGAGCCCAAGATTGGTATAAATTGGGCTCATCATCTGAAATCTGAAGTTCTTCAAAATGCAGATAATTCCTAAAAGGAAAATTCAGGGGTGTTCATCGTTCCTATGGATCACTTTGGCTACCTTGTTAAGGCTCTGGACTGTTGTTTCTCTGGTAGATTTGCTCCTAGCAGTGTTATGAGTGAAGTAGCATACTAAAGTGGATGTGAATCTCTACCTGCAGCCCTTATTCAGGGAAAGGAAATGTTGCCAGCTTTAAGTTGTGATCATTGCAAGGCACAGCATGGTCTTCTGCATTGCAGTACAATGGTTTGTTGTCCTTTCACATTCCAGGGTGTCCTATAACCTGTTGCTTTGGAAGTTGGACTCTGTGATCCTACTTGAGATATTCTATGATTCTATGAAGACCTTGCATTGCCAAAGCAAAGTGCTGGATTTAGTGTCTAGAGCAGATGCCAGTAATAGGGGTTTGGAAAAAGGCTCACCTGCCTATCCTTTTTAATGAGCAGATCACTTCTTTTTGTAATTGAGGTAACTTACTCTTTGTTGTCTTTATCAGTTTCTCATTCTCTCCTTGTCGGTTTTTTCCCACCCTTAAATATACATTCTAGTGTGTGGTGCTGTTCATGCATCTTCAGTTGTGGTTTAGTTCTATCTTTTATTCACAATAAAAATACATTTTTCCAGTATACGTACCCTTGAATTAATGCTGGGAGTGGTTAAGGGTGCAAGAATCTCAGTCAGCGTCAAGAAAACAGGACTGCTTTTTGGCCCCGTCAGCTCTTTTTAACCAAAATGAGTGCGTCTTCCAACTTCCACATGTCCCTTGTCATTTGTTCAATATGAGGGTTTCTCAAAGGGTAATAGTAGGCACAGATGCCACGCTTTTTAGGATATCTTTTTCCATTGTCTGCCTAATAGGGATTTTGTGGCATCAGAAATACTGATGTAAATCAACCTTTTCCTCAACATAGATTGGAGCACATTTCTCAATGAATCTTTTCCCATGTTCTTCACTGGGGCATGTAAACAATCGGCAGTTCTAAAGAATGTTGTAATTAAAATATCCTGGATTGTTATGGATTCTGTTAAGTGCACTGAAAAGTGCCATGGGTTAACTGAGAAGACATACTAATGTATAGTCTTCTGATGTTTCTTTAACCTGGGGTGGGTGGGGGGAGTAGGGAGTATATGAAACACAGGTATGCACTTTTATCCAGATAACACATCACAACTGGAATACAGAGCACTTTTTCAATTTTTTTTTTACTCTTTTTTAAAAAGTACTCTTTTTTAGAAAGTATTTCCAAATAGCATGAAACCCACTGTGTCTGGAAATTCAGGCTTTGAATTTCACTGTCGTCTTCGCAGATTCCTCTGCAGGCATTCTCCTTTGGAGGTCACCCTCCTCAGCATGGCTCCAGGCACCCCACAAGGACCTGGTGGGTGAGTGAGCAGATGGATGGGGGTCTATGCCAACTGGGTAACTTACCTGGTAGCATGAGGTGCTCAGCAGCAGAGCTAGAGCTAATGCCTTTGTGTGCAGGGTGCCTTTCTGCTTTATCACCTTCAGATCTGAGATTTGCCGTGCCTCCTGCACTGTGCCTCTTCGTTTCTGGTAACAACATTCTGGAGGGGAATTTGTCAAACACTTTTTGAAAGTCCAAATAATCTATGTCATTTGGTTTTTCTCTCTGTGCTCTTGCTGACAGCCACAAAGGATTCTAACAGATTAGAGAGGGCATCTTTCTGTCTTTTTTTTCTTCTTAGAGAAGGATGGGTTTGTCCTTACCATATTCCCTTCATAGCTTCAACCACTATTGCCTGTACTAAAGTAAGGCTTTTCACTCTGCAAGCACTGTTAGGCGTGTATGTATGTGTAGATATATATATATTTGTTATGTATATCTGATATTACTTTATAGCATATTTGTTTCTAAAGATGTATTAAAAAGCCTTGGTAAAAAAGTCACTTGGTATCTGTTCAACCACTTAGTTTTCCGGGTGTTTCTTCTACCCTTTAATCAAACTAAGCTGTTTTGTTAATTTGGCACAGTTTTCTATTTTGATACCTTTATCCCTTGTTTTACTCCTCTTCACTGGAAAGTAATGGTTCAACAGCTTTCACTGCTGTGAATATGTGTTCAAAGAATCTTTCACACAATACAGCGGTTCACCCAAGATGCAAAGCATAGCTTTGCTTCCACAACATATTGCAAGGTGTCAGTGCTGCTGGCATTATCCCCCATAAAGGGCAGTGTTCTGCCCAGTAATTCTGTAAAATGCATAGAAGCAGATTGCAGAAAAGAGAGGAAGTAGCCCTGGGAAATCCTAGGAAGCCCAGGAAAGACCTATAAACAAAAGTAACAAAAGTCTGGAATGAGCTAAACAAAAGGTAAACGTTGAAAAACAATTGAAGTGGTGAAAGCACAGAATAGACTTTTAAGTGTGGTGAAGGCCTCTCATATTTGAATACTGCATTAAGTGTCTGTGTGGGAGTTGAGCACCTAAATACCTTAAATCTGGGCCCAAATGACTTGGATTTTAAGCTATCTGGAAAAAAAAGTTATTTGATCTTTCAGGATACAGAAATATGAGATGAGCAGTTACTTTCTGCTCTGTGTATTTAAGATTTGTCTCATCAATCTTAAACCTAAGAAATAGTAGTGAAAATGTAAGCTCTGTACAGCTACCTACTGGCCTGTTCTCCGAAACAGAGTGAAAAGGAATGCTAGAGGTCTTGCCTTGTGAATTAAATACCTTGTAAATGGCAGCTGCCTGCTGTGAAGCATTTGGCTCGGAGCAGAAGCGGAGCTCTGGACGAGCATCTCTGCACTTGGCTGGGTGTGTGTGTGTGTGTGTGTCCTTGCCTAGATGGGGGCTTGTACTAGGCTCAGCCTGGAAAAGTTGTCAGGTTGGGGCACAAGCACCTGAGCTGTAAACATATACTCTTACCCAATTGAGTTTTTTCAAACTTCTTTTAAAACAGCAAAACAAACAAAACTCTTTAGTTCCAGGCGTGACAGAGAGTTTTAGAAAAAACTGCTTTTCAGTTATAATACTGAACTCAATTAGGAACTGGAAGGAAGAAAAAAAAGCATCCCGAAGGTACAATTAGGCATTAATGCTAAAAAAACTTCCTCATATGTACAAAATTATAAGTAGCTAGGAATAAGAATTTAAAAACTACTCTGCCCTTTCTGCCATGCCACCAATGTTGCTACCATGGCACTACAGTAATTTATTGTTGCAGAACATTCCCTCCTAGAACTGTCTAAATATTTCAAGGAGTTTCAATTACATATTGCAGAGGGGCGTCTTAAAAAGTATGCAGGTTTGCTAGCTTTGCTACCTTAGAGAAATACGCACACAGAAAAGCAAACAAAACCAGTAAGAAAAAGCAGTAAGAAATGTAGAGTATTTAATTAAAATATCAGGTTTTGGCACGTTTGTGTTCTTGCTAACCATGACTTCTTTAGGATAAAAACCCAGCATAAAATCCATTAATTGTAGAGACAGGACTTTTTTTTTTCCTTTGAGCTTTGTTCCAAAGGCTTGTGTTGTCAAAAAACAATAACAAAACAAAGTCTATACTGGCTCTTCAGCTTTATATGTGGTGTCCTTGGCTGCTTTAACAATGGAGTTGCTACTTTCAGCAAAAAACAACTCCTCTTTGTGCTCCAGGTAAACTTTATAGCATTTCAAGGAGTGTAACTAAGAATAAGAGGATGGCTTGGATGTGTCAGTAAGCTGTTGAGGACCTTCTCCAGCTCACTGGCTGGTGCTGTGGTCCTGTGTGGCACAAAGTACTGCACAGCTGTGCAAGCACACCTTGAAACTTTGGTCTGAGAGGCAGTAAATGGTTTCAGTCTTCTAACAGGCTTCAGTTTAGAGCCAAAATTTCCTTATTTCTGTACAAAGGTAGCTTTTTGGTCACTGATCTTCATGCTCTTCTGTTGGCCAGTTTACTAAACTATGTAAGATAAGTGATGTCTTGGTCCTTAGAAATAAATGTTTGTTTCCTTTCTAAGTCAGGACTTCTCTCACTACTGGAAGAGTGAGGAGTTGAAAGAGGGATGTGCATACCATCACAAGAGTAGGTAATGGAGGCCTGCTGGCAGAGTAATGCAGATATCTTGAGTTCCAGGGGAAGTGCGTTCATTCCTTGTTGATTTCTGTCTCATCAGGAGCTTAGCAGGGAGGGAGGATCTTGGACACAATTATGGGCCTTGAGGTCGGGACTTGACCATGTGGGTCCATCCATGCTGCTACCAAAGTAATTTCTCTCTCTGAGCATACTCAGGAATCCGCACTGCAGGATGTAATGCCATGCCCATCTCTTACGTAGATATGATCAGTATAAAAATATGTTTTGAGTTTTTTTCTCTGAGTAACACTAGTGTTCTTCTAAAATCAACCGGAAAAGAAAAAATAGCTGAGAGCAGCCTGTGGCTGTTTATTCATTTTTACATTCTCCTGCAGCTTGGACTTGGTGGTGAGACCTAATGCTGCCAGTACCCTAATGCCAAGTATCTCTCAGCAGGCACTCACCTTGTCATCCCAGAGCAAGCTGTTCTGTATGCCAATTCTAAAGAGGGCTAAGTGGGTTCAGGTTATGGTATTAATAGTACTGAGGTAACTAGGTGACGCACCAGAAGAATTTGAAATTGCTAGGTGAGTTATAAGCACTGGGGATTCTGGCTTATTCTTCCTTAAATACACTCTTTCTGTATT